TTCTTTCATTTCCCAGATTCTGGACTTTATCTATTGACCGGTTTTGATTTTTATTTTGATCTATTTTGAATTGCGTGACACTGAAAACCAGCAATAGGCTCCTGGTATAACCACCCGGTCGATCTCTCAAGCAAAAAAGAAACATACGTATTTTATTATCCTGAAACCTTTTCAAGGAAACTATTTTCAAAGATCGACCAGCTCCTGGTGCCTTCTCTCTCTCTCTATTAAGTCACACACTGAGCTACGCCGAGATGGCGCGAAAACGCACTGTTGCGTGACATAGCCAACAGGTGCTGTTTGTCGCCTATTACAGTCCCTGGGTAGCCAATCGGATTGCGTGTTTCCACGATAAGAAATCATCACCAGGATGAAAATGAAAAGTATTCAGAGAGCAACTATAGAAAAATATCGGTTTAAGCTTTTTCAAGCTTTACATTGCAATGTGAGTTCCATAAATTGAACAAATCGACTGACCCAAATTATTACATGACAATGATCTACGTAGTTCTACAAAGATCCCTGAAACTCTTCTGATTGGCTGTTAGGTGTGCATAGAAATTTGTAACCTAGCAACAACCAATCACAGGATGTCCGTAAAGCTAGAATAGAATTTTTCGAGTGGAATCTCAAACACTGTCCCCGAGTGAAGGGGAAGGGTATAGGGTAGAGAAATGAACGTCCAAAGAGGAACATTTGTTACTCAGGATAGCCTGTGAACAGGGTCTCTAGTTGAGGATCGGGCTAAGAGAAAGCGGCAAGAAGGAGGTCAGAAGAAACGGAAGAGAGGACGCCACCCCAAACCCCATTCCCCCCTCGGCGACTTCACTTTCGGCCAGTTCCTTTTCGGCCCTTCCAGCCGCGGTCATGTCTGACTGGTCAGACCCTTCCAGCCGGAGCCTGTTAACAGGTTATACTTAGGGAAGCAAATGATTTCGGTAAAAACAGTAGATCAAAACTGAGCTTGGAAACCTTAAAATACATTTAGAGGATGACTGGAAAGGGCAGGAAAATTTATGGGACATATTTCGTTTTGTTTAACTGCTATGAAGAGAGATAAAAGTGCCGTTTCTGGACAATCCGATCAGAAGAGATAAAATGCTAACTCAAAAATTTCGTACGTTACCTTTTAGATGAGACAAATCGTTAAATGCAACAAAGCTCTTTGCGCTCTACTATCAATGGGCAGGTCTTAAAGCAGTTGAAGGAGAAAAAAGCGATTCTCCGCTTCGAGGAGTATATGCTTTATGTAGCTGTGTTCTTCAGTCTGTTTAGATCGCAAGACCATTCGATATCACAGGTCGAAAACATTTTACGTGGATAACAGAACCTTCTGGTTAGCGCTCACTCTTGCTCGTCTCTTTACATTTCATCTCTCTTCCACTTACCCCTCCCCCCCCCCCTAATCCCACCTCCTCCGTCATTACCACTCTTTCGCCCTTCCCCTTATCCCACGAAACTGTGCAACCTCAATTACAGTCACAACAAGTTTGAGGCAGGTGTCAAAGTAGAAACCAACGAAATATAAATAAAAATGAATTTCCCAATTTATTTCCACTGCCGGCGCAAAATACAAAGTGTCTCCATAACGGAATATATTTTAGTTAATATAATTAGTCAACAGAACGCAAATACGGGGGTTTAAATACATTTTAATGATAAAGTTTGGAATGAAAAGGCAAAATAAGCAGTGCGTTGAGATGTATCGGTTTCTGCAAACATTTTTCGAGCAGTAAATCAAACTTTAATTGGTTTCTTTTACGAAAATTTTGCGGGATAATTTAATTGTGACAACATTTTGAGCAGTTCTTATAACTTTTCTTGTGATTAAGACCAGACAAATTTTATCGCAAAGGCTTTACAGGCTGATTCAAAACCATTCAGATTCAGCCGTATAACTTAGGAATCTCGTCAAGTAACTCAACGTAATTAAGTTTTCAACATGGGGGGTCGAAAGCTTTAGAAAAAAACGAAGTGTTACTACCCCTGGCTTTCAATATTGGTAATCTCGTCTAACTAAACTGATAACTTTTTGGTCGCGTTTGGAAACTTTTAAAAATACATGTATTGGACTTATTAAATAACTGTTTTGAATCGTATGGAGCGATAAATATGTTTTAAATCCTATTTTAAACAGAGACGTTTAACCTTAAGTGAGGTTTTCGCACAAGAAATCAATCAAGTTTGCTACATTGATTTTTTTTAAATTGAAATTCACTTTCCATCAAACTGTGAAGTGCGCGCTCTTTTAAATTAGCAATTCACGCAAGAAAATTGTCTAACTTCTCACATTAAGGAAAACAGCATATGCATCTTAAAAGACACTGAACTCAATTATGTGTGATAAATCTGAATGTTTTACTGATTATTTTCTCATTGCTTCTATTTTGCTATTTACACAGAATAGGGTTGAAGTATTTAACGGAGGTACAATCTTGTATAAACTGATATTTGACCATATTTATATATTCACAGCCAAGCCGTTCGCTTTTGTTCTCTAATGTACATATTATTACTCATAGTTTACAACTTCCATTGTTCATCCACGTGCGCTTTCCGTTATACTAAAACAACGTTTATATTATATTCACATAAGCCTTAACTGTCTTGCATTCTAATCTCTCATTAAATACAGTTCCGATGCTACAGTCGTTGTAGAACAAATCTTAAGGTTTTGTACACAATATAAGCCAATAAATTACGCTACGAGCTTAAGTGCTCGCTCTTTTTTTTCTCGACGTGAAGGACAGTTAACGACGCGTGGTTCATTGTTCCATTCTGTCACGTTGTTCTTTGTTTTCGTGTAGTTTACGGATATGCTTTTTAAGGTCAAAATTCCGGCAGAATCCTTTGCCGCATTCCTTGCATGTAAATGGCTTCTTATCATTGTGCGTGTGCATGTGAAATGTCAGATTGTACACTTGATGGAAGGCCTTGCCGCAGATGTGACACTTGAATGGTTTCTCGCCGGTGTGTGTGAGTCTGTGATTTTTGTAGTTGCCTTTCTGATGGAATCCCTTGCCACAAATATCGCAGACAAACGGCTTGTAACCGGCGTGAATTCGGATGTGAGTGTTCAAGGTGGAAGACCTGTTGAACGCTTTTCCACAAATGTTGCATTTGTGAGGCTTTTCTTTCGTGTGGATAATTTTGTGCCGGCATAGCGTGCTCGCTTGTCTGAAGCCCTTGCCACAGATTTTACACTTGAAGGGACGGGCTCCGGTATGCACAGGCATGTGTCGGGTCAGATTGTAATGCGCATTGAACACTTTACCGCAGACTTCACAGGTAAATGTTTTGGGCGCTCCGTTGCGTCGCTTTCGGCCAACAGAACCGGGTTCAGAACTCACCACGGGCAGTGAAGAAGGTTTGGTGTTTTCCAGCCCCAGAAAGCCACTTCCGGGAATAAAAATTCCCGCGCTCGGGTACCCATCATCGCTGCGAGTCGGTGAAGGCACAAGAGCACCGTCAAGGCTTAGAGGGCTGGCGTTTCTAGAGTCGTAAGGGCACGGTACTTCTTTAGCATACAGTGGTTTGCCAACTCCAATATCACGGTGGTCAGGATTTAACTGAAGTGAATTAAACGTAAACGGACTGAAAAAGCGTGCCTTCGGCCTCAGCTGTCCTTTTCCAGTTAAAATTTCTGGGTCGAGCGTGGCGAGATCCAACTTGATGGGCTGGAATATCTGAGCCGGTTCGATCTCAACTCGGATTGGTTCCCATACATTAGGCGGAGCCGTGGGTATGTCAGAACCTGCTAGAAAAATAAGAGCGAAAGAGCAGTTTTAGAATTTGCCGTATCTATTTGTCTGCTGATGAATATTTAATGAGGTGTGGCAGTTTTGAATCAGAGAAACTTAAATGTTTCGAGGTTTGGTTTGGCCAAAAAATTCTCCTCAGACGAAACGCAAAGACGTGTGTGAAAATACCAAGTGGCACGCTTGAAATCTACCCTCAAAGAATTTCAACTTACCTTCTTCCCAAAAGAAACAGGTCGGACTACTCTTTTTCAGCTTGACAAGAAATGATCGAGGCATGTTCGGTTGACCTTGAATACAGTTATATTAGATTCAGTTAATCGCGCTGTCAGGGCTGTGGAAGCTTCTAAACGAACTCCAAGAAAGATTCCTCTAACCACGGCAGCGAAGAAGGTTTGGACGATTTGGAAGACTTTCTGTAGCAAGGCGCACGCGAATCTTAATCAACTACACGAGGCCTTTATCGAGTGTCACTGTATCAACTATGGCTAATTTGCTGGGCGCGTGCCGCAGTTTTTAAAGCGCTCGTGTGCTCTTTTTTCTTTTATGTGCATTATGTCAGCTGAAAAGAGGCAACTACAAACAAAAACACAAGGCAAGCTGTCCAACCGCGGCCGTGCAGGCGTTTTGCCATTGGACAGACAAGAGATCTTCTCTCAAGGGAGGTCTCGGCGCAGCCAATCAAAAGCAGGCCCGAGGGCACCCTTAATAACGTCTTTGAACAATTGAAGAAAACTTTCCCCGCCCCTGCAAGCTCATTATCACCTAATTGCGAACTCTAATTTTCACGTTCTGTAGTTGTACTTTCTAAAGTGCGGAAATAACGTACTTCGCTTCTGAAACAGAACGACCAGTTTACTCAAACGCGCGAAGTTCACTTCCGGTCCATATCAAACATTCGTACAACTGGAAAGAACTGCGTTTGGTATTATTTACAAATAAACTAAAAAAAGCCTGCAGCCTCAGGGGACTGCAGTGAAGCATAAAAACGTCTACCAAAAAACAGCTGTATGAATATTTTATCGAGTTTTACAGAAAGAATGTTTAATCTTCTTTAATGGTACAACACCTTTTGGATTCTATATTCTTATGAAGATTTCTTGTTTACGTTGAAACATTCTTTTTTCGCCCGATTGTTTTAGGACCGAACAACTGCCGTCAATTCCCGGGAACGGATTTCTAAAGAAAAACCAGGGGACAATGTGCAAACAGGAGGAAACAGGGCTGACTCATCTGAAGGGACGAATCGTGAATTTTATTCCCGTCTTCTGAAAGCAGATGTTTGTTTAGAGCACATTAACATACCGACGGAACCAAGTTTATACAACATCGCTAAGCAACTAAGCGAAAAAGAGATACATAGATTCTAAACTGTAAGCAACCTTGTGTGTATCTCTGCTTTCATCTAAGCATATTAACTGAACAGTATGCCATGGCTGGAAAATCAGTTCGCTTTGAAACAAAAAATGTTCAACGCAATCTACGCTAATGTTTTCAAGTCGCCGAGATGTCTGAAAATAGTTTTGTAATTGCAATATCCAGAACAACCCGGCATAAATATTTTATCGTAGCTTGAAAGGCCGAAAAATAAAATACTAATTGAGTATTATCTGTATCACAACAGAACAAGAAATCTACGACGCGTTTCTATTGGAAAGGAGTTATCATTTGCTGCTCCATAATACAGTATTGTAATACACAAGGGTTCAATTGCTTTCTTTCGGTATACCAGGTGTCATCGTCTCGCGCGGGCAAGAACAATTTTTTCGTAATTCATTAACCATGCACGAACCTTTGAATCTTACGGAAGAGTCGAGATGCGTTGCGACGAGCCAATAGCGAATTCTGTAGCGTGGGAAACCCATCGAATGTTGTTAAATATGATTTTAATCGTTTTCACGGTTTTAATTGCATTAGCTGGTCTCGCTAAAGATTTTGTTTTGTTCTATTTGTGCGAGCAGGCTCTTGTGAAACTTGTTGAGGTAAATAGGTTATCCTGGTCATTATATTTCTGACAAGTTGTCACATAAATCCGCGTGGACGAAAAAGAGAAACGTGGCCCAGTGTGTCAAGATTTTTTCGGCTTTGTTATGTAAATGAAATTGTCCAAAAAAACAATGCACTGAAAATAAATACCACGCTTCCTTAAGGATTTCAATAGTACTTCATCACACATCAAATATAGCAGTGAAGAAGAAGAAAGCGTTCTTTTACGTCCGTTTAACTCACAAACCGTTTAAATTCACCACATAAAGGGTGAAAACGGACTTCTCTCAAAAAGCCATTCTAAATTCACTCGTCCGCGCGTGTATCGCCTTCTCTGAATGTTAAACATGGCGCCGGAATTGCTGGGATGAGCTCGTCGCCAACTGTGCTTTATAGAGCGTAGCACGCGTTTAAAATTAAAAATGCTTATTTCACCACCAAGCACTCTCTCTGTAGGCTGCTATCACGTTAAATGGCTTTGAAATTTGCCTTTATTTTCATTCGGTAGGGGTTTAATCTCTGAAAGCGTTTCTTATCTCAATTTATCCGGAATCACTTTATAACAACTAAACAATTACATAACACGTTTCTGGTCGAGGTTTAGGGACTTGGTTTTCCTTGGCACGATTTCCACACTGTTGCAAAGTCTTTGTCTAATTTAAATTGCATTCAAACAAATCGCCGCAAAACAAAGCCGGGAGTTTAGAGTTAAATTGCAGTATTGTCGGGTGATTTTTGTTTGTCCTAAAAGACTTGCCCACGTGCAAGCTAGAGGCAAGGCGACTCAGGTAAAAAATAATGAAAAAAGCCCTTAAAGAAAACATTTTGGTCTTGAACAAAGACGTTCTACAGAAAAATATCAACCGCTGTTTATTGTTCGAGTTTAGAGGAGTGAACGGGGCTAATTGGAAGAAAGCTTAGCCCCTCTTTAGCAAGAGATTTAATAAAACGGCGCCTTCGCAATTGGAAATGAAAAGCGAATCTGGCACACAGTGAGTTCATTTCATCCAATTAAAATCTGTTATGGAAGTACGTATTTGGAAGGAATAAAAAAAAACAAGTTTGTACAATTATTTAGAAGAGCCACAACCACCTGGCAAGGTTAAGAGGTCGCTGATAAACGTTGAATGCGGCGCGTGGCAAAGTCGCGTGGCATGCGTTCTAAACAAGATGGTCTTTAACGTTGATTGGCAGGTGAATTTTAGGAACCCCATTGAATTCCCAATAGCTAATTAAACATTTCAGTCAGATTTGCACATTCGAACAAAGCCTGCTTTTCTCATGGTCGCGTGTCCGACTTACTTTAGATGATACCTTATCAAAAGAAACAGAACTCGATATTTTCGTAATTGCGGGAAAGCAATGCAATTTTAATGAGGCACTGTTGGGCGCGAGCGTGCAAATACGTTTTTTATTACCTGCAAGGTTAACATCACTTTAAGAGCTACGGAATTCTGTGATTGGTACAGAAAAGCCGCGGAAGAAATTTTAGACTGAATTCGATTACGTCAGAAGTGAATTATCCATGAGGCCCTTAATGTTTTGGCAGAGATTTCAATTTGGAAAACGCAAACAAAAGCATTTTAGGGCAGCTGATGTGTGCATGTTATAACAAGCAAAATTAATCTCATTATGATAGATTATTTACGGCAAATCACCGCGAAGTGCGCCTAAATTAACAGATAACATTTAAATAAAACTATCAACCCTTCTTTTGCGAATTTCGCAACGAGGTATGAAATTCCTCGCTTGTGTGATTCAAAGTTGAAGCGCTGTCTCTGGCGATCAAACAAAGCCGACCAACAACACCTTTCAGATATAAAGAGAGAATCACCCGAATTGTTTTTGGTCGAGCCGAACTACATGTTTTCAATGAGCCGACAGAATCAAAACACTTTTGAGGGTAAATATTTACACAGATCAATTTCTGTACGTGTAAGCTAATAGAGCGATTAGATCTGGGTGTACAATGGCGCGTGTAAACACTTGAAAGACGACCACGCCGCAGTTTCTTTTGCAAGAAGAGAACTTGTTTAATAAAGTACGACGATGTACGCATATACAGTATGTTCTGTCGACGCCATGCGCCACGAAAACAGTACATTGCAGACACTAGCTACAGAACCCTTCGCCAAATAATGTACTTCTCCTTAATTCCCTGAAAATGCGCGACAGCGTTCGATCGATACGAGCATTTTAAAAATTAATATTCGCAGCAGTGTCTCAGCTCTTAATTTTAGGAACCTAATTAGCTTATCTTATCTAGTCAGCTTAATTGCTGGAGCTTGCCAAGCGTTTTTAGTTTGCCGCGTGTTCATTGTCTTTGGCACGTGCGCAGAATAAGCAGATGAACCGATTTTTGGATGCTGTAAATTGTTTCAAGTATCTATTCAGAACAGTCGAGATCAACTTAATTTCAAATCTGGGAATTAATTTATCAATGTCAATTAGCGTTGATTACTCCGAAGGTGTTTCGCCCCCGTTTTTAGCCACATCAGCCATGTTCGCGAAATTTGCTGAGTTAAATGGTCTTTGTGAAAAGCCATTCCTCGGGAAATTCACTGGGCTTTTTCTCCCAATGTTACTGGACTTAAATGGATTAAGCACTATTTATCCCTTGTAATCTTCTAACTTGCATGACTTCAAAGGCAGGCCTGTTTTCAATGCTTCTTAGTTTTAAACGCACAACACAGTCAATCGTAAAACAGGGCTCTTTATTCCTTCTCTTACGAAATGTTTTGAGTTGAAGTCCATCGGCTCACTTCTCCAAGCTTTGTTATTTACATGTAACATGTTTATAATACATGTTATTTGCCTAGCTAAATTATAACAGGATCGATCGCAATTCTTGCAAGAAAAGTGAAAATAAAAACTGTGAGATACGAAAGTTTTCATTGAGCCTAGCTTTCACAACTGGTGACAAAAAAAAAGTCACTTAAATTTCAGCCTTCCACAGGCAAAGTTTGGATATGTTTCGAGTGTTTTTAGTGTCTTCTCGTAAGCTGTGCTGTTTAACCCTATAAAATATGATGCTTTTATGTTTACTCAAACATGATATTCTCTCAGCAACCCTCCATAGCACTTGGGCGGTGGATCTTTGGAAATGTGTGCAACATGAGGTGATTGAAAACGTTAGGTTCCGCGCTTCAAATTTCAGGCTCATTATGTCACGAGAAGAACTAGGATTCAAAGACAAGGACGAAAAAACATTTCAAGGCCTCTCAAGTATACCTAACACAGGAATTAGAAAGGTTTAAACTTAATTTGGTTTGTTCAAAGAAACATTTTTATCGTGCAAAAGTGTTTTGCAGTGTCGCGTTCTTTTCAATGCTCTGTATCATTCCATCTTTTATTTCGCGTTTGATGTTATCTCAGCTAATTCACGGCGGCCGTCAGAGCGAATAACAAGACTAGGGTAAATATCCCTTAGTCTTTTAGCAAACACATGGGCGGCTTTTTTTTTTTTATCTTGTCTGACTTGCTTTTTTTTTTTTTTTTTTTTTTTTTCACTTATCTTCCCAATATTTGTTCTGGTAACTGTTTTCGTACAAGTTNAAAAACATGTCTACGGGCACTCCATGCTTTTTATCATTTTTCCTTGCTTTTTTTTTTTCTTTTTTTTTTTTTGTCCCATATCTTACAATTCCTTTTGCTTTGAATTTTCTTTTCTTGTAAAGGCTGGGAGTTCTTTATCAATTAGCGTCTTCTTTTTCTTCAAAAAAGCCACATCCAGTGTCTAGAAGTAACACTCAAATGAAACACAGCCGCTTTAGTAGGACATTTCAAGCGTTCACTTTGTAGCAACGTTTCATATAAACATAACATCGATTATGTTTCAACTCGAGTTTTGCGCAGAGCAGAAGCAGGAAATTTAAATAAATAGCTTAGTGAAAACCTGTGGGCTTTACATAAAGATTAATCGCCATAACACGTATGTCGGTCTAAAGATTCGTCACGAAAAAACACTGAGGAAAGTTTTACTGCAATAGAATGGTCAGCTTTCCGCAAACCTACCTGCGAGTGAACTTAGGTATACAACTGAGAGAAGGGCTTCCAAGTGCGATTGTAAAAAAAACAATATATGAACAACATCATTTCGATTCATGTTCCAAAGAATATTGGTTCTGCGGTTGGGGCAAGAAAAAAGCATTTTAATTTGTGTTATTATTTATTTATTAAATTTGTTCTTGGTCGCGTGCGGGAAGATATTCGAAGTTCAAGAGGTGAGATTGTTTAGCATTCTACCTAAAGCACAGTCTTCTTGTCCTGTTCTGAAAGAAATTTGCCCTAGCACAAGCCTGTAGAAAATTATTTTCAATAGTGTCAGGAGAACATGGCGTCAAAATGGGAAATCTTAATTTATTTTTGGGTTAATATAAATTATATATCTCTAACCACAAGAGCTTTTATTTCATCAATCGACGTGCTTCTAGAAAGTTCGGAAATTAAATACGAATAATTTCACGTCTAGGTTTTATCATGTTTTCGTGCTCAAAATTAAAAAGCATCTTACCTCTGAAATTTTCTCTACATAGAAAACAATTATTGAGATTTCTTTTTAAATATTCTTTAGTGGTAAAGTAAAGCTATCTATGTCTTACAAACCGGAAAGGAATCAGTTGTATTAAAGAAGTTTTTACAAAATTTCTTGAACTCGTTCAGTCTTTGCACTCAACTTTTTGTTGTGCCCTTGTAAAAAGAAGGTGTGAAAATTAAACACAAGAGTATTTGTCTCGCTAAACAAAAGAAAATAAGTAATTGTTCCTTCATGTAAAAAAAATATATTTTCTAAAGCTATACATGGATTTTAGCTCAGAAACGATCTTTAGTAATATTAAACACAATCACTTTCAAAGTTTTGAAGCCAGAAAATATATCGCAGACTTTAAACAATGTTTTGCATTTCAGGCAGTTTAGACTCTGACACGAATTGGGAGAAAACCATGTGGCAAGTATTATGAAAAGGTCTTTTAAATTCGATGAATTGCTATTTAATAACCCGATCAGTACCGTTCAGAGAGAGTTTCCTTTCTTCTCGATCTCACAGGCCGAACAATTTAACGAGGCTAAATTAGCCTAAACTAGCTAGCGTGTTACATCTTGTAGAAAGTGCTCTCAAAACATAAACTAAGGCATTTTATGTGATCGTTTTCAGGTCTTACAAAAGAACTTGAAAACATTTAGCAATTTGTGTCTGTAGAAATGACGATGAAACAGTAGGGAAATTGAAATAAATCTTCTTGTAGGGTTTCACTGAAATTCGAAAATAAGAATGTTTCTCTTACAAAATTTTTACTAAATGACAACGAACATTATCTGCTTAGATAGTATTTTGTACTCTTCTCTTATAGACAACGTTTTAAATTACAACCACTGGTCGAATAAGTTTAATGAAATTTCCGTGACCAGCACACCTGAAGCCCGCGTCGATGAAGAAAAATTCTAAAAGTTTTATTAGTTGATGTTTCATTCCGTTGAATTCCACTAGAGGAAACCATTTATTTAACACTTTGAACAGAAGGAAATAATTACAAAATAAATCGTCCTCAAATAATTATCGAGAGCTTACGAATCTATTCAGCGCGCGTAACACATGTATGAAAAGAATGGAGGGCGTTACGAGCCTCGTGCAGTCAAGAAAATAGCATTGTCCTCGACAACTCACAAATCAAGATGGCGAATGGAATCATTCTGAAATCCATACTATAATTAGAATTAGAGGTTTCATTTCATCAAACCGGACCCACGAGTTTGGTTGGCGTGGATATGTTTGTCTTTGAACGCGTACAGTTGTATTTTGTTCCGACTGGTTTCACGCCATTTTGTATCGCGTAAGAATTCTGTTCAGTGTCGAGAAAGGACTTTATACAGATTGATTGTTTTGCCTCAAACAGGGGAAATTTGTAATTCTCTCTATTGTTTTTGCAAAGATTAGTCTTCACACTCTCTTAAAAGGCCTTTTAAACCCTTTTTTGCTAGAAAAACGAGGGTTGATCGAGCGTAATAGGAAATCTTGTAGAAACTACTTCAGCTCAAAAAACACACTTGACATTTTCTTGGCAAGATTACAAACATGTTTTGTTAGTTGAATGAAAGACACAGTACCCTTCAATCAAACCAAGGCTTCTATTCTTCAGCAAGAATGTTATTTGCTGGCAAGCTGTTTTCTTAGGTCATAGCACATATCGGCTGAATTGAAAAGTAAAAACATTTGTTCTTTGCTTTGAGTTTGGAAGCTCGTTGCATGATTTGTCAACTGTACCTTTGTTTTAGAAAAGCTTCCTGTGGTTTGCTTGGTAAATGTTTTCAAGCAAAACGTGTTCCGTTATTGAAAAAGTAGGTTATTCATAAATATATTTGCCTGCTAATACTGTCTTAGCTTATAAGCAAGTTTTCAAACTGTTTGGAAACCCGGCCGTAAATTTTATCATGGGTAGTCAAGACAAGCCGAGATCGCTACAGCTAAAAACAGAGAGACTGAAACTGAAACAACTTCAATTGCTCTGAAACAACTTCAATAACTTTATTTTCGTTTTAAAACGGAGTACATTTTCTACTTCGAGCCCTTTATTTATTTCAGTCTTTAGCAAGGAGCACAAAGACTGGGATTACATATTTCTTTCAGTTCGATGAAACCATCTGCCGTGAAGGAAACCTGAACTTTTATACAAGCTTGTGCGCGGAGCAGTGATGAATGAAATCCATGGAAAAAAGCAGTCTCTAACAGAACTTGCTTCAAATGTAACTTCTGAGTACAATTTTGGAAACATTTCTTAAGAACTTCTCAACACTTGAACGAATTGTTTGTCTCACTGAGATTTTGAGACAATTTAGTTTAACTTCAAGGTTTACCTAAAAACGATTGCAAATACTTTCATTCTACAAAAGTCTTTTCAGTGAATTCGCAGGAAGAAGAGTTTCGCTTAGTTTTTAGTAAAACAAGTTCCTTATTTAGCTTAAATTTTCCATTTAGTTTTTAAGCATTCTTCATGTATAGATCATGCGACAAAGATACAAATTTGGCTAGTGTTGAGAAATCACAAATTTCTCGAAATTAATTAATCGTTTCGAAGACTGGCCAAAAAATACTCCAGGTTTTATTTCCTCTTTCTTTCCATACTGTCAAATTGAATTGACTCGGTGCTAGATACATCCACCAGTTCGAAAGCTTTTTTATTACTGGGAAATACGAGGCAATGTTGCGTTTAAGATATCAAAGAAAGTTGTTTAGATCTAGTGAGCTAGCTTTTGAGAAAAATGCTCTCTCGGGCCGCAGATTTGTTGACTCGTACCGTTTATATCTAACGTAACACAGTTTCCGCGGTACTTCAAACTAAGGGTACAAAATGACTTTTTCCTTGACTATGATATATCAAGGTCCAAAGGGATTTAAATTCCTGATTTGTGATGTAAATTAGATATTTTCGCCAAAGTTTGCTAGCATGATTTTGGCTGTGGCCTACACGAAATTCGTTTTACACCCTACAAACGGGTCAAAACTATTTAACTATAGAAAGTCTGGCGATGGAAAGCAATGTTCTGGCGGTAAATTTCTCATTTTCGCCTTAACTTTTGTATACACTGTCATTCAAAAATGAAAGCATTCTAAACATTTTTTTTTCCGATCAAAACTGTGTCGTAAATCGAGTTTTAAGCTCACATAGAACTTCACTAAAAAGATTGCGTTAAGAAACTTTCTGAGGCAAAATGGGTTTAAAACATTAAATTTACCTTTTCTTAGCTTTCTCTTGGTATGAGTTGGTTTAGCGTGATTCTCGAAGATGGAAGATTTGTGTGCTAGAAGTTGACTTATGTTTCGAGGATATATTCTTTAGCTTTGAAGGTTTATCAGCTATCAGGCATTTTGGCGGGGTATTTAATAAGAATATAGTCCTTCCGAGGTTGTAATTCATGAATAATTTAGTCGAAGTTTCAGTCAGTATGAAGGTTTCTAATGATGGCGGAATGCTTCTATTAACCTTTCTTAATTGCGGCTAGCTATAATTTGGTATCCTTGCTATTTGCACTGTGATAGAGAATAACAAGCAATATAAATTGTACTATTTGGCAAAATGAGAACTTTTTGATTGAAAACATGGGTAGACAGACTTGCTGAAAATCGACCCAAGATTGTGATAAAATCCCATTAAGCAGACATCTTGATCCAAAATTTTTCATATATCTCAGAGGCCATCTGAAATTATTTTAAAATTCTTCAAAACTAAACTAAAAGACCTCAAGGCAATTTCGGTAAAATAAAAAACTTTTTGTTATTACATTCTCTTTATTCAAATTAAAGATCGAGTTCTCACCGCGTTTGAAATGGTTTTGTCGTGATCAAAGCTTAAAATTGTATCGAGGTTTGTTGCGTATTTGAACATGTTGAAACCACAAATTAAATGGAAATTTACTTGAACCGCGTGAAACTTGTTTTTCAGATTTCTTCAGAATTAATTTTATTATTTTATCTTGAAATTAGAATAACCAAACATATACAGTTTAGTCGAGTTCCAATTATATACAACTGATTATGACCGTACGGTCGAAAACGTTTTGGTTTTTAAAAAATTTTTAGCAACTTTTAGCCTTTTATAAAGATATACAGTTTAGTGGGGTAAATCCCGGGGGGAGGGGGGGGGGGGNAAATCCCGGGGGGGGGGGGGGTCGTGGAGTACTGCTGGAAAAATTGGGTTGGGGTGCGGCCCGCTTTTCAAAACCATTACCCTATTTATAACCAAAATCTGCGATTTTCCTTACCCTATTTATGACCTGACCAAAAATTTGATACCCTATTTATGACCGTTGCGGCTGGCAGGGTTGCCCTAAACATAATTTTTGAAGGGCTTTTTGCTGACGATCTTATCGAAACGTTGAAAAAGCAGCTTCTTCTGACAAAACATACCGAATTCAAGACTAGATTGCAAAAATAATACCCGATTCATGACCAAAATGGCCGAAATCGATACCCTATTTCCGACCAAAACGGCTGAGAAACCCGACCCTTTGGAGCCGCACATATCAATATAAGAGAGCCCCCCGAGGCGGGGGAGGGGGGGGGGGGGGGGGGGAGTGTGAAACCAGAACGAAGTCATTTCATTTCCTTCGAATCTGTTAGAGATGCGGGGGCGTTCTATAGTTCGCTCACTGGACTCCGCAAGTAATCGTTTACCTGGCCGTCATTGCGTCGCGTTATCGAGCAGGTTACACTGAAAGTCTAACAGTGCCTTCCTCCAACCCTTGCCTCATTCCCAGATGGTCCGTGAGGGAATGAAAGCAAGCGACCTCGAAACGTTCGAGGAACAGGTGAACACCGCCCAATTAGGGGCTCAAATGGTAATGAGCTGGCAAGTTCTCTCTACATTTTCTATACGATGTTACATTTAACCAGAAAGGTGATGAAAATAAAGAAACAATCAGCAACAGAATGCTTCTCTTGACTATGATTTACTTTCAAATTCTCAGAACTGTTGATGAAATCTCAGGCAGCGTGGAAAGTAAATTGATATTCGATCTCCAAAGAATGAAAGGATGTAAAAGGTTGCTTTCTTTTCTTACTGAGCTCTCATTGATGAATTACATACAGTGGAACCACTAAATAGGCTTCCCCCAAACACGAAAGCCCTTCTGGATGGGGTTAATTTTCAATATAATGTCATTCGATCAATTATTTACATCTTCATGTAACATCTACTAAAGTAAAGTCGGTAAAAATCTTGAGACAACACAGCGACTGTAAAAACTGTCAAAAAAGATATATCAGCCCACAAAATCAATTTAAAAAAATTATTTATAAAACGTTGATAAATTAAAGACGGATCTTATCTTAAAAGACTACCTCACGGTTTGTTCATCTTGAAAAGTTCAACCTAAATTTTTCAAGTTCGTCGTTTGCAATCCGCGTCAATCTTCTCCATCCTTTACCACTCTTGTTCCTTAATGGTTTGTTATTATCTCTTTAGTGTTTTTCTTTCTTAGTAAACTACTATTTTTAGGTTTTCTTCAATTTAAAGGTTACTTTGTATGTCACCAAAATAACTGGAAATGCGTGACTGAGCTCCGTTAATTTTCCGTTAAATTCTCCGTTTCCAGTATTTTGTCAAATTTCCTAATTTCGTTTCCCTTTCTCCCTCTTGACACAAATCCTACATGTAAACAAGGTGTAAAAAACATTTTAATAATAATAAGAAGAAGAAGAATAAGAATAATAATGATAATGATAATAATAATAATCACCATCATCATCATCATCATCATTTAAAAAAAAAAAATCATGGGACTTTCCACTGCAACACTGATGGCTTTTTTAGAGCCCAAAAGCAGCAATGAAAACAGTCGCATTGAAGTCAGGGGAACTAGCATATAATTAAGCAATAGACCACAAGTTTTTATGGTTTATTTACAGGTTAATGCACTCAGCGAGTGAATTATCAGGATTTACCTGCACGAGTTCACTAACAATGAACGAGAAATTTCAATACCGCACGAGGCCTTGCCGAGTGCGGTATTGAAAATTTCGAGTTCATTGTTAGTGAACGAGTACAGGTAAATCCCGATAATTCACGAGCAATGAGTGGGTTAACATTNAGTATCACGTGGTACAAATCAGCCAATCAGAAAATCCGAATTCGTACAGTGTATGAAAGTTGGATAATAAAGGCTGATAAACCACTTGGGATGTTTGAAGAACGCTCGAAGAATTCGTAAATCACGAGCTGCAGGTTCGTGATTCACGAATTCTTCTCGTGTTCTTCCAACATCCCAAGTGGTTTACTTGTGATCTATTGCCTTTATATCATAATTCGGAAGACACGCAAAATTTCCCTGACACAATAAACCATAGCTGCTTGACCAATCAGAGCGCGCATATTGATTTCATTATTATATAACACGGAATACCCGTCTCGCTCGTAATTTGTGGAATTTACAGTTTGCCGAGGCACTTTCAAGTTCGTAGATGAAACAGACTGCAAATATTAGCGTATCTTAGCATTAGAAATGTGGCCGGTAACTACTGACCGAGGTTTTGTCGATCAAGCAAGTGAAAACTCGAGAGTCCTCGTGGTTAGCCAGGTGACAGGCGAACGCTCAAAGATCAGTGCGTTTATTCAGCAATGATTGAAAATTGGTTCACTCTTTGCTGCTAACAATTCAGAATTGTCAGAAATTAGGTGCTACTCGAAAAAACAAACAAACAAACAAAGCACATGAAATTGAAAGATAAAGCATTTTCAAGGGCGTTCATCTGAAAACACATTCCAAGAGGACAGTTTTCCATTCACTTCACACCCCTCTGTAGTCTTGAAACACGATGAAACACGATGGTTATCCGATCAAGGGTCCGTCCAACAGAAGAAGAGATTATGGAAATTCTAGTTTCTCTGGGAGCCAATAAGCTGATCACAATAGTTGTCCGTAACAAGAGATCCACCAATACTTCGTCACGATACCGTGGCGCCAACAGACGCTTAGCAACCTAAGATAATATTTCTCAGCAACCTCACAACGAAGTCTGCGGGCTCAGTGGCCTCTTCCAGGCGTTTAGTTAGTTGGGCGCAGCGCGAAAAACGGCGGGCGAAAATAGGGGGGAAGCGCGTTTTCACTCGCCACTGTTTCTCGCGCTGCACCTCAACTAACTGAACACCTGGAAGAGGCTACGGCTCAGCGTGTGTGGTCTCGGGGATCAGAATTCACCACGACGGAAATAACATGAACGAAGTACAATGTAGGCTCAATTGACCTATGCCAGACCCGAGAGAGTGGCGGAAATCGAGCCCAAGTAGAGTAAGAATCAGCACATCGGAAAGTAGTAAAAGTAGCTTTACTATTGTCAAATCCAGTTGACCATAAAAACGAGTACAGCTATTCAATTTCACTACGCAAATACCACGCATCATATATGATTCAACTTCTCGCAGATCTATACAAGTGCTATACGAGATCTGCAGAGTACAGGCACTTAAATCCGGTCACTGTTCATTTCCTTAATTAATATTAAATACACGTGCGTTACATCTGGAGCTGTATTATCCACACGGGTCAGAAAAGGATAGAAAGCCGATTCAAATTTTAGGCCGCTTGTTGAGCCTGCTTCAAGAGGCGTTTCTTCTTGAGGCTCTCGGGTTCCTCTGGGGGTGGGGGACGGGGAAGGCGGAAGAACACCTTCACTGAGTCGTAGATGAACCACTGCAGGGCTGTCAGAGTACCAATCATGATGATACGAGGACCGAGTCCCTTCCACAGACCTGAAGAAGAAATTCGTTCATTATTAGAATGGTTCTCAGTCCTCCGTGAGGAAAAAAAGATGGCGGCTGTACATTTTACCACAATACTATGCGAGCCTTACACAGCCCGAAAAGTACAATATGCCATATTTTTGCAATACTTGTCCAATATTTGTCCCTGTGCTAATGACATTGTGTATGCTAGGTTTGAGGATTTTAGAACTTTTCTACACGTTTTTATAAGCGTTGTTAAAGATTTCGTGCGCTAAGAACGATGGGTAAATGTATCAGTCGCCATAGTCGCTTTTTTTTACTACAGAGGATCGAATTTTGCTTCGAATTTACATTGGTTTATCAAGTTTTCTTTTTTGTTTAATCTGACGTTTATTGGCTAATTTTCACTCTTTTTTTTTCGCTCACACTTCATTCCTAGCCAAGAGGCAAGCAGAGGTGACCAGTGATAAAGAACTTCGACTAAGGTTACGATCACGAAACTTATCAACACAAATAGAGTGCTAACACAGGAGTTTTTGGCGGGAAGAACATGGCAGCCGCCAACTGCGAGTTAAAGCGAATAAGTTACGCTGACAACAAGAAACTAAGTTCCAGAAAAGCTGAAAATCCACTTTTTACTGTGAGTAAATGGCGGTTTCCTTGACTATCCCTTTTCTGACCTAATTTTTCGCTAAAAAAAATTGCAATCAAAATCGCCTTTTAACAGGTCCATTGGTAGGTCTCTAATTAACTGTTCCTACCTTTCATTCCCAACTCACGCGCAGCTTGAATAGGCGTGCTTCCGACATCGTTATTGAGCTTGGACACCACTGTGTCAGCAGGATGAGATACAATAGCACAGAAAACACCAGCTGAGGAAAACAAACAAACAAACAAATAAACAAAAGAATGAACAAACAAACATGAAAACATGCGAGGAATTACTGCACCAGTGTTAGAGCGGTTTTTACGTAAGCATTGCAAATTATTGGTTTCGCTCTACTACACTACACGATTGGCTTACAAAAACTCAGGCCATTTTTTTCATCCAATCAGAAGTAAAACCAAAACCAATCGTGACTCGTTCGCACACGTTTTCCCGCGCTTTGTGTCAGCTACAGGTAGCGAGATGTGATTGGCTCACTGGATTGTCAATGTCCTTTGTGATTGGCTAGAGTGATTACCTTGATTTTGGTTTTATGATACTCGCATCATTGCACTCGGTACGTAATGCCAAAACATGGTAAAAAAAATAATAATAAAAAAAATATAAAAAATATAAAACTTTGGCCACGTTGTTTAACGCAAGCCACTTTTCTAAGCATGTAACGAGTTAACTGCAAATTAAACAAGTATGCATAGCTGGCAAAACGTTAAGTAAGACTTCTAGGGAATCGGCATTTAAAAAAAAAAAAATTAGTCAAGACAGTAGCCTGGGAACAGGCTCCCGGCGAGCTCTCCAAATTCTTCAGTTTCGCGCTCGTCCGCCCGCTTTGCTCGCCGAATTTTTCCCGTCCTCGCCGAGAGCCTGTTCGCAGGCTAACAAGACAGTAAAAACAGCTTCTTGTGCTTAGCAAGGTGAAACTTAGGTCGTGTTCTATTGGGGTCCACCGTTTCTGGTTGGTTGGCTTTTTTCGTATCTATTCTACAAAAACCGTTTTCGGTTGGTTTTGTTGTTAAACTTTTTCAACCGGCCTCAAACCAGATTGAAACGGTTGAAAAAGCATTTGCGTGATTGTGTCGCGTGATAGTAGCTCGCGTAAGGACTATTCCCAGCAGCTGTTGCATCGCAGCCGAAAACGGTTGGAAAAGTGTTCAATCGAGAAACGTCAACTGTATCAATCCAAACCGGTCGCAGTTGAAACGGTTGATCCCAATAGAACACGATCTTAGCTCTGCCCAGATTTAAGAAATTAGAGGAGACTCAATGGGATGCAAGTCTACACCTAAAGCCCAACCTCTGTCACTTTGCATTGGTAGATCTGGACAAGGGGACAGTACAGGAGACAAACATCTTGCCCAGAAACATGACACAGAGACTTGCCAGGGCTAGAGCCTGGACAAATTGATTTGAAATCCACTGCACTAACCATGTTTCTTCTGTGCCAACCATTCATAAGGAATATAATGGCAGTCGGTTATCACGAAGAGGGGCTGAGTTTATGTATTACACTGAAGACAACTAAAAATTGTTACTGTGTGTTATGGAAGGTGCCGTGGTCCCATGGTTAACCAGCATCTTGGATAGCAAATCAAATACTTTGGGTTCAAGCCCTGGTCAGGGACACTGTTGTGTTCCTAGGCAAATAGCTATGATATTTTTACAAGTACATACCAATGTAACCAGCTGCAAATGTGACAACAAGTTGCTCAGGTTTGGAGCACTCGCTCCTGCAAGAAAATACACACATTCAATGTACTCTTTGTTTATTCTCAGAATGCTGAAAAAGTTCAAGTCTGTGGATAAAACCCTAGTGTGGGACCATTCAAATGAAAGCTATTGAGCAGTACTTTCACGTGGTACTGTTTATTATGCTGTGCTACAGGTGGTTCTAACTTCTCTGTTTGTGGATGAAACCCTAGGGTGTGACAATTCAAATGAAAGCTAACCCTAACCCTGAACAAGATCTCTCTGAATCTTTTCTTTTCTATTCCACCTTCAAGAGAAAAGGTTACAAGTCACCAGCTTGAAAACCTAATTCTTCTTACATAACCGACACAGTTTCCAGTCTTCTAATCTGTGCACATTGACTCACCTTGGCTTGGGTACAACGTGTTTGTACAGAAACTCAACAGTGCGCTCAAAGCAAGCAAACTTCATCATGGTGTATGGAATCTGTCTCATCCACAAGGGAGGAAGGCCTTTGTAGAACCTGATAATGAACGAATGCGAAATCTGCCATTAGGAATTAAGCTACAAATGTAGAACAGCTTATCAACCTTGGATTCAGGAATGTTATCTCCTTGAAAACTGAACAGTTTTTCAAGAACAAATAATTATTTACACTTATCTTTGATGCCAAACGCATTATACAAATTACATTTATTTTTCACATCTTTATTCTATTTCCAAACAATTCAGTGATAAATGCAAAATCGTTTTCCAGTTCACTGTAATGAAATGAAACATTTTTTTCCACAATTTTTGAAAAAGAGGACACCCCTATCATGTGCAGCAGATTTTCCAAAATAAATTTCCGTGAAATTCTGTTCCATATCATTAAGCTCCATGAAAATTTCCAGACTTGAAGCTGTTTATTCTAGGCAATTTCTGTACCTACTTACTCAGACACAAGCTGCAATACATGTATATACAAAATTTTGGTCACATGGAGAGCTCCAAAAATCAAAGTTATTCAGTTGCCATCGAATGATCTTGCACATGTATACATCTATACACGTACAGTATAAATTTGAAAACTTACAATGTAAGGATATCCTTGTCTAAACCCCAGTTGTGGTTGGATCATGGCATTATCATCATATGACATATGTACGTATGCAGACCAACCACATGCAAAACTATTTCATGGATTTTAAACACTGATACCATATTGTTTCCATTATCGACAAATGGGTTTGATTTCCACCCCTCTGGTGAGTTTGGTTTGCATTCTCTTCCCCTCCCCTCCCCTCCCCCGCAAAGAAAGAGACCTTCAAGGGAAGTTCCCAAAGGAGCCTAAATTAAAAGTCAATCAACATACCCCCTGATTCCCTCCTCTGCCCACAGCTTGGGAGCTCCCTCTCGCAGGGTGTTGGCCCAGCCAGGCTGTGTCTGGATACGGACTTTAACAGCTTCCATCGGAGCCAGGGCAATGTCGGCGAAGAACTCTGCACTAGCTGATGCGGCGAGGTACAGAGAGGTTCGGAACAGGTAGCTCTTTTCCTGAAAAACAAGTTTAGATATTACACTGTATGAACATGACCCTGTCAAAAGGTCAAAACCTTTAAAGGAGAAGATGACTCCAAAAAGCTTACTTTTTTGTCTTGACCTGTAGCAAGTACATGTAAACATTGAGCTTTTCTACTCACCAAAGTTTCAGTCTCTTAAGTGCCTGCTATCCTAAGAAATTCATCTCAAACGAAGACCAAATTTCAACTTTGGAGGCGGCTATCATTTTCAGAGTTTGGAGCATGTTTGGCTCAAAATAATATGGCTCAAAAACAGCCATAACCCAGAGTGGAGGTTAAAAGGCTTGTCAGAAGCCATTTGGACAAACGCTCGGAACAACGTCACGCAAATGCAACCTGGTTGCTGAATACTGTTCAAAATGGCGGCAACAATGTCAAATTTTGGGCTTCTTTGGAGATGAATTTCATGAGGAAAACCTGCACTTTAGAGGCTGAAACTTTGGTGAGTAGCTTAACTTAGTGGGGGGGGGGTATTAGCATTGACAGAAATTATACATTTTTTGGAGTGACCTTCTCCTTTAACAATTAAGACTTTCTTTATATCTAATTGTTTAGTTTTGTAAGGTATTAGTACATGTATAATTATACAGGTGTATATACTATTACCATGTATGAGCACTACATGTATTCAACAATGAGATTTTCAGCTTAAGATTTCTACAGTACCTTGTGATAGGTTTGATGAGGGAATAATCTAATTGTTATAGAGTGTAAAAATCAACTAGTCACTCAAAAGTTTAGCTGAATTCTCTTAACAGACACTTGAAAACCCCCAAAAAAGGCTGCCATTTTGTTAACCACTGCTAGGAAACTCACTGTCTACAATGGAATTGGTATTGAGTAGTGTAGCCAATTAGAGAACAACAATCCTTAAGGAAGGCTGGTAGATTTATAAATAAAAAGGATATAATATTGGGTTAAACATGCACAGGGTTCTGATGCCATGAACAAGCCCCGCAGGTTAGCAAAATGAGTCTTTTCCAAATTCTGTCATTGTGCCTCCACAAAATCACTTTGACAGTTCACATACATGTATCTTCGTCTTGATGTTCTTGGAGCATTTTGTGTACTTGTAAGCAAATAAAGGCTTGATTTTGGTACCATTTCTTCAAAAATGCAGCGAAATAACTGTCAGTGATCAGTGATAGGGTCTCTTTTAAAACACTCAAAACTTGCAAAAAGCTGTGCCCTTATTCAACCATAAACACCAGAAGCAAATCACAAATTCTTCCTATAATTAAAATTCCATCTGTTATGGGGACAAGGAAATTTGGTAGTTATCAAGGAAATCTAGATCTACATGTAGTTATGTTCTAAAGGGGAAAATAAAAGGTGATAAGTGCAAATAATTTCACATTCATTTATCATGATAACTCAAATTATTCTCAATACTTCTACATGTACTGTAGTGACAAGAATTAGAAAAATTACAGAGCAAACTGGTTTTTATCAATCATCTTGTTAGAAGCATGTAAAAGTACTAGACACTAAATTATGCTTACCTCACCAAGCATATTACCATAAAGGATCTTAAATACTTCATAGAAGCCAAACTTGCACAGCCCCTGCATAGAATAACCAATAAAAGTCGGGGCCCAACCCTTGGAGAGTCCTCGTAATCCATCTTCTTTTACTGTGACTTTGAAACCTTTCACAATGTTACCATACTTCCCTGGGTCCACCTGAAAAGATTCAATAATTATAATGGTTTGATGGTTTAGCGAATCTTAGCGGATTCTCGCCCCTTCCCCTACCTCCCTCTTGGTTGCTGGCCTCTAGATAAGTATGGGTCAGGTAATTTGTTTCCACTGATTCATTCAGTGTGATGGTGCCAGAAAGCGGATGCATTTGGGGGTGGTTCTCGCCTCCAGGGTTGCCATGGATACCTCCCCTTTGGCTTATGGCTTCTGCTCCCCGCTAACCTTTCAGGCACCAGTTCCCAAGCTCATCTATGTGTGATGAGTTTAATAGCCGATATAACGCACACTCTGATTGGCCAATTGCAGGGCATTATTCTCCCGTAATGCTCACGGGCTGATTACGGCCTGCAATTTAACTAAAGGAAAAAGCCATACATATGATAAACAACTTATTGACCTCAAACATTTGGTCTTTATGGGAGGGCAAGGTATTGGTCTGAGTTTTTCCTGTAAAGACCTCACTCTTGGTTAATGTTAAGCTCTAATTAAAATAGCAGTTTCAACAAGCAGTGCCAGCCACTGGTAGGAGTGTAAGGATTCACAAAATACTTTGCTTTCTTTTTCATGCTTAGAAGTAATGACAAGTTTCTGTGTGTGACACACGCAAGACTCCATGTAAGTCCTGCATAGCAATTTTCACCTGTCACCAGTACTTACGGAGAACCCTGCTTCATTCAAGTGTTAATGGTCTTGTGTAGAGCGTTGTATGTATATAAACGTCACATAGTTCAGTTTATACATGTAGCAAGTAAATAAAAATCAAAGGATCCCCTAAAGTTGGCTTTTCCCTGTCCACAATGCCATATTTTCAAGTGACAGATATTTACATCCATTTAAAAAACAGGATATTCACCTGAATTCTGCATTTGACGAGATCAAGTGGCACGACGGCAGTATGAGTAAGACCACAGCTTAGGATTCCACCAAACCCACAATATGCGTAATATGTTGCACTGCCAAACTCACAGCTGTACTGGTCACCTACAGAAGCAGAGACAATGGAAAAATACTCAGACATATGGAGTCTTCACTACAATGGGATGTAAAGACATTATTCTCTTTTTGTACATCCAGAAAAATTTCATACTTGCATCCCTGATTAAAAGAAACCTTTTAGCATATGTAAACCTTTTTAGTAGAAATAAATGGTGTTGTTATTGTTGTCATGTTTTTAGCTGTACGAGTCAACTCGTCAAAATTCATTGAGTTTTAGAGGTGAATTTTTAGCTTTAAAGTAGATTTACCAGCTTTTGGTTGTACAAAATTAACAAAAGATCGAACCCAACTAAAAGTGCCACTCTGCTATTATATATGACGCCAGACTCACTGAAAGGACTTCACAGTCTGTGTGTTGTACATGCTTTCCCTTCGATAACAGTTTAACCTACGTAGTAGCAATTTCCTTTCCTTTTCCAGGCAGAGAGATCGAGCAAGTGAGCGAGCAAGCAGGCAAGTGATGGAGCGTGCCTGGGGTGAGCAAAAAATTGGGGAGAGGTGGGGAGGGGTTAACGAGAAGGGGGAGGGGTGAACAAGAAGGGGGAGGGGTGAACGAGAAGGGGGAGGGGGNCGGGCGAGTGAAGGAGCGCGCACCTGGGGTGAGCAAAAACTTGGGGAGAAGTGGGGAAGGGGTGAACGAGAAGGGGGAGGGGGTGAACAGGAAGGGGGAGAGGGTGGAGAGTAAAAGAATCACCTGCAGTCAATCCCAAACATTTCACCGAACTTCGTTCGCCCATGAACAGGGAGCAATAGTGCAATCTGATTGGTTAGTAGCTCATCAATCAAAACATGAACAGAAATTTGACATTTATGAATAATACAACATCCAGAACACAACAAGATCAAAATATATACTGTATAGCCCAGTCCAAGGAAGCGTTCAAATTTTCTGTTCAGGAAATGTTGAGAGATCTTTCACAAACGGCAAACACCTCGATCTAAAATGAGAAGAAGCTAAGAAGTAGTCCGTGGACAGGATGTACTTGCAATCCATTTATCAAATACTTGTGGGAGTCTACATGGTTACCGCTGTTATCTCCATGTTGGTTTGCAGAGTTTGACATCTCTTTTCAAAATTTGCCATGTGCTAATATTAACTCCAGTATACATGTCTAAAGTATACCTTTTAGCTAGCTAGAAGCAACAGTATGATGAAAGTGGGGAAAGGAAAACTAAGAGGCTTTGACAAATATCATTACTTTAATTTGGAATTTTGTGGTGCAACAAATTTGGCCTGATCAACTACTACATAAATCAAACATACACTCCTATACCAAAGACTTAAAGATGCCAAAGATCATTGTAGATATTGTACAGTTGACTCGACAAAAACAATTACGCAATGATGCTTTTCCTGTCAAAACAAGTCAGTCTGCCAAAAATTAGCTCGATCCTGCAAAAAATAAAAATCAGCCCAAAATGCTATACACGCCCTTTTTGTACAAAAGCCTTCAATTATTTGCTAAAAATAAATCGAGTCCCTAGTTTAACCAAAGATGATACCAAGGTTAAGCAAAACCACCAAAATTTTGAATTTCTATCCATCCCTATTTATAGTCCTGTCAAATTAACTGTCACTTAGCTTAAATAACCGTATGCATAGGCAGGATTCTTGTTTTCCAAAATCCCTCAAACTAAGTACTGGATGTGGTTCCGATACAAAAGGATAGCAATTATTTAGACTTTCAGTAACATATAAAGACAGAGGGTGTATCTTGGGACAAAACAAAAACCAAAAACCAAAAACTAAATTACATGTATTTTATAGTTCTGTGACCAATGCAATACATCTGTTTTCCGTGGCTTGTGGTTGAAGATCTTGCTTGTGATTGGTTATAACAAAAGATACATTCCAGACATATTTTAGGTGTTCACAGTTTTCTGAGTTTGACTGTATAGGTGTGTTTTGGTTCTAAGTACAGAATTTTGCTGTCTAGAAGAAAACCATGTCACACAACACCATGTTTGCTTAAAAAAAAAAAAAACTCTCCCCTGCCCCCTAGAATATGCAAAGGGCCAAACCACAATACTAAGAAATTGTCTCTTCCTCACTCCCCAGAGGCACCTAGTACAAAATCTCTGGGAAGCGGGAGAGAGGCAATTTCTTAGTATTTTCAAAGAGCCACTTGCCTTGCCTACCCTGCAAGGGAGTTTATACTGTGTATGTGCTCCAGTCTACCCCTACGTGAAGTTAACAGAGTTAACAATGAAAAGTTTGACAGATTTCTGTTACGGTCTTTTAGAATGTCGCCATATTGTGTCCATCTGACAAAATTATTGACATCTGCAGGCCACTTTTCAATCAATCAGGAACTAGCATTTCGCTTACTTGGAGTACCTTTCCCAATATTCTAACCCCAATAGTCCTCCGTCCTACAGACTTAATTGCACTAAAATTCAACATGTCTTGGGCTTGTAAAGAAAACTCCTAGTCTCCTACATGCATTCACCCCTATTTATACACAATAACAAAACAGATTTGCTGCCAAACAAACCAATGCCGAACTAGACAAGGGGTGATCAATTAATGACTGAAAGTGGCATTAAATTCCCGACTTCTATTGACAGAAACAGGAGGAAATCAGTAAAACAAATTGGCACTGATATTCGATATTAACAATGACCCAACTAATCCTCTAATCAATAACTTGTACATAATATATTCAAAGTATTGCCGGTCAATTGCAAAGGCAAAGTCCAGATACTGGAATATACTATAACATGCCAACGAACGTATATATGCGAACTACGTCAGTGGTACACTTGTAGCGACATAACTCTCTTTAACATTGCGTAATTTACTTGTCGCGTTTTAATAAGATCGTACACAAACTGTGATTAAACTTAGCGGCACATCGCTTTTGTCTGCAGATTTGTACGGACGAACTCGGTTTACTACTTACTTGGAGTCAAGGGCACCGAAATTAAAATCTCCGTGCTGAAAGTGAGCAGTAATATTAAAATATTACCTCAATGATCACTCACATGATGCGAATAAGCTAAGCTTATATCACACCACGTCGACATCTCGTAATTGATCATCGAGCGTGTTTCAAACACATATATGCTCTTTGAAAACCACATAAGGCAAGTTAATAGCTAATGTAATATTACAATTACAAAGGACTTTTCCAAAATCGCAAGGCGAACTAAAGAACGCAAAATACAAAAAAGCCGGTTAAAACCTACCATCGGTATTCGGAGACGCCATGACTCTTGTTCGCCGCCTGGGCGCTGGAGTTGACTCTGATGAACATTTCGCTACACTGAATGGAGCCGCGAACGGACTGTTCTTTGCTGTTTCGGAAAATCTGGAAAACATCTTGTCTTTTACGGCGAAGAACGACACAAATCAGTAAATAGAATCCCCTTTACACGAGGCTCAAACCTCGTTTGATTTCCACGTTAAAGAGGAAGCCTAGAGGAATTATGGGAAATACGTAACACACGCTAATGATTCCAATAGGACCACGCATAAAAGATATTGGTGGTATCCGCATACACTGATATCTTTGGGCTCAAAAACGCGAAGGACTCGGGCGACAATAACGTTAGGAAGAAACATGGGATCACTTGCTTATTTTTTTGTAGGGCTGGGGGAATTTTTTTTTCTTAACGATTTAGCGCTCTTGTCTAATTTCTGAGGAAGCCATCAAAAGGTTCCCAATAAACTTCAATCGATCAGGGAAATGCACAAATGAGCTAAATGAAGCTTAATTATTGACTATAAAATGTTTAAGCAAGCAACAACATTCACTCCACCCTTAAATTCACCAGTTCACACTCTTCTACTAACGTACCTTTTCTTGACGTTAGTGTCTCTTTGACTAACGACGGTAGAATATCTACTGACCTCTACACCAAACCTACAGACAAACACCAACATCTACTCTATTCATCTTGTCATCCCTTACATACTAAAAAAGCCATTCCTTTCAGTCTAGCACTCCGCTTACGACGTATCTGTTCTACCGACGCCACGTTTAATACTCGCGCGGCTCAACTTACCACTTACCCAACCGTAATTTCGTCACTAAACAAATACGACGAGCCGCCGACATCCCCCGCAGACTCTCGTTACAAACCAAAGACGTCAACAAACCTA